GAGTTTATCTTTCTTTATAGCTGAGTAATATTCCATTATGTAAAAGTACCACAATTTTCTTATCCAATCCTGGGTGGATGGACATTTGGGTTGCTTCCACAATTTAGCAATTACAAATTGTGCTGCTATGAACATAGGTGCACATATATCACTGTGATATGATGTTTTTAGATCTTCTGGGAAAATACCCAGCAAGGGGATAGCTGGGTTGAATGGGACCTCTAGACCTAGTTTTCTGAGGAATCTCCAAACTGATTTCCACAGTGAAGAACCAAACTTTCATGTGGGTTTTGCAGAGTAAAAGCTCTGATTATGGACAACTCAGATCTGTTAGTTGTATGGGAATGGGCAAAGAGCATGCCACTTGCAATCCATCAATCAATATTCCTGTCAGCGGGAGAGTCATGGTCTTGAAGGAGAGAACAAGGTGTGATAATCATACGTATTCCAGGTTTTTACAGGTAGATCATAAGGGGCTGCTTCTTTCTGAGTTCAAGGAGAGCTTGGGGTCAGGCAGGACTTATGAAAGAATGGTATCATGCCGGGCGTGGCGGTACAGGTCTGTAATCCCAGCACTCAGGAGGCTGAGGCAGGAGGATCATTGCAAGTTCGAGACCAGCCTGGGCTACAAAGTAACTCAAGGCCAGCCTGAACTGTACAGTGTGAGACCCTGTCTCAAAAAGTCAAAAAAAAAAAAAAAAAAAAAAAAAAAAAAAAAAAGAAAAAGAAAATAAAGAAAGAATGGTATCAGGAAATGATAGGTCCTGGCAAAGTCCTATGTGTTCCATCCTCTCCTCCAAAAGAGGGTTTGTGCCAGACTGGTAGATGGTTTTGTTCCCATGGAATGGGAGAAACCACCAGGGGTGGGGCTGAGCCCTCCACATCCTGGAGGTTCTTTGAGCCTCTGTATTTGTGTTAGAGAACTAAAATGTTTCTAGAGGCTTCTGCCTGGCTCAACAAGGCACTGAATTTCGGTCAGCTAACTCACAGCTGGTCCTTGGTTTCAGAGTCTTGTCCCTCTGACCATGCTCAAAACGAGCACTGGTTGTGGAGCTCAAGCCTGTAAATTCACCAATTGAACCAGAAAACAGTGTCACATATCAGGAGTCCCTGTGGCTATTGGCAGAAAGAAAAGATATGGTTCAGGGAGAAGATAGGGCAGAGGTCAGAATTACCAGTGGAAACAGACTGGAACTAGATAACAAAGAAATAGGAAGAGAACATAGTAAAATTCTAGGCCACAAAAGGTTCTCTTATGAGTAAGGAAAATTACTTTTAGGATAGTATTTTAACCTGTATTAGCTACAACCCAAATAATTCGGTTAAATAAGTATTTCAAAACATAAAATATAATTGGAGATCAGTGAGGAATTTATCCAGATGTCCTTATATAAGAATGAGAATTGCAGAAAAAGAAAACAGTGATAGCTTGTTTTAAGGAAATATTAAATAACAAAATTTAAATGATTGAATAGAATACTTTTAATCATTTTGGTATGTGTTTGTACTATTCATTATGGGTGTGTGGTATAACTACTTAAATCATCTTAGTTCTTTTTTCATACACCCCTTAGCCAGGTCCATCTCTTGGTCAGGTTTTGCAAATATATAGCTCTCCATTTCCAATAACCTATCTTTCAACTGCTCTTTATTTATGACTTAGGTTACTCCCATAAGAGAAACTGCGGTATATTTAGCTCGTTTGTCAGATTTATTTTACTAAAACATATAGTCTCAAGATTCATCCATTTTCTTACACATGACCCATATTTATCCTTCTTTGTGAAAGAACAGTAGCTTTTTGTGTGTAAATACCACATTTTCTCTATCCATTTATCTGTAGATGGACATGTAGGCCCCTCCGAGTTTCAGCTATCATGAATTGTGCTACTATAAACCTGGGTGTGCAGATGTCACTGGAATGTGATGTTTTAACTCTTCTGGGAAGATACCCAAAGGGGTAATTTATCTGTTGAATGCAGTTTCTATTTTTAATTTTTTAGGAATTTCTGTACTGATGTATATAGTGATTGTGTGTATTTTCAATATATACCAATAAAAATAAGAATTGAAGTATTAGACTACCAAAAATAGTTTGCAGAAGAGCTTGGTTTGCCTGGGAGAAGAGGAAGGGATTGAGTAATCTGAACTTCAAATTCAACCCAGAATGAGATATAATTATTATCCCTAGAATTACTTTAAAGCAAAAGAATCAATCCCCAAACCACAAGTCCACGTGAACTATAGTCTTCCATTTAAATGGGTGGTATTTGTATATAACCTGTGTACATCTTCCTCTATACTTTAATTTACCACTAGATTATTTTTAACAAGAAAATGTAAATTATGTATAGTTATTATACTGCACTGTTTAGGCAATACTGACACAAAAAAAACTGTAGTTCCATTCTGATGAAAAAAGTGTTTTACTGTTGATGGGAAATATTTCTTCAATTAATATTTCCTACTTATATTTTGTGTATGGTGTGTATTTTTCCATTTAGAATGATAAAATTGGTCCCACTATTTCTTGAGGAAAACGGATGTGATATAAAACAGTGTAGTCATGTAAGTTATTTCAACAATCTAAAAAATATTATAGGATTTAAAAGGAAAGGCTAATCATGAAATGTACCTATGAAATTACATTTAATAATTTAATGTTTTGAAATACATTTGTAATACTATGTTTAGTTTTGTGTTCAAAAGTTTCTATATAGTTGCCATACGCAGTTTTCTATGTAGTTACATACTAAATCCATTCCTTTTTTTTTCGGGGATGGGACAGTGTCTCACTATGTAGTTCAGGCAACCCTTGAGTTCAGTATGTAGCCTAGGCTGGCCTCACCTCAAACTTGCAGGGTTCCTCCAGCCTCAGCCTCTGAAGTGCTGGCATTACAAGGGCTTGCCACTACACCTGGCTCTACATCCATTCATTTCAATTAACATAATTTATTGAATAGAACCAAAAACATGTATAAATATATATTGGTCTCCATGTTTCAATCTGCAAATGTAGAACCTGTGGGTAAGGCATACCAACTCTAGTATCTTTTCTGAAGGAGTAGATATTTATTTTGGACCATCTTTGTCTGATTTTACTGAGTATTCTACATGCACATCAAGGGATTTAGGGACTTTCCATTATAAACTGGGAACTAAGGAGCTCAGAATCATTCACAGATCTTCTCCCTATTTTTGCCGTTATACCAGTTGGGTGCTAGATACTCCTCTATAAGATGAGCTTTTGCTCCAAGCCTTTGCTCTGTATAGAAAATGTAAATAACTTTTATTCCTTTGAGCAGAAAAAAACAAGAAAACTTCCCCTTATGCATGGCAAATATGCACATGAGCGTGAGCCACTCCTTTGACACAGCCGATGCAAGGCCTTGACATGTTCATGAGGAGGTGCTCCATAAGCATGGTAAGTGTCTCACTCTCCCACTCTAAGATTAGAATGACTTTGTAGATCTTAATGAATCTTTAGTGTATTAATCTCAAACAAAGGATTTCCAAATTTGGTGACTTAAACAGTTAATATCTTATGAGCGTCTAGTATGTCCCAACTTCCATGAGCTAGAAATCAAGGAATTACATGGTGCTGGATGGCTCAGGCTCAAGATACTTGATTCAGTTGGAGGCAACCTGTCCCAGGGCCCGCATAATCTGAAGGCTTGGCTGGAGTGGGAGGTTCCACTTCTGATCTCAGTCACCTCGGTTTTTAGCTTGCTGCCTCCCTGTGTGTCATTTTTCAGGGCAGACAGTCCAATAGAAGGCAACCAAGACAAACCATAATCTTTCTAATCTAATCTCAGTAGTGGTATCCAATAAGTTAACTATTCTATTGCTAGGAACCACTTATATATGAGGTTTCAAAATTACCTATGTATATTGTTCCCCATGCTGTTTCCTTCCTCACAGCAGGTTGGAGCCACTTTTTTTTATTTCTAAAGAGGATAAACAATACAAAAAAAATTAGAAATGATATAGAGTTTCACTAAACAAGATGATAGGAATTCAACAATGGTTGTTGAGTTCCATATATAATGGAATGTTACATTCCATATAGTGGTTGTTATATTCCATATAGTTATACTCAAATTAGTTGTTTAAATAGGAGCCATTAACTCAGACCTGCCAGAGTCTGAATGAAAGTTGTTTTTCTTTTTATCTTTCTAAGACCACATCTCAATATACAGTTTCCTGTGGACCTGAACTCACCTTGTAGCCCAGGATGGCCTCAAACTTCCAGCGATCCTCCTGCCTCAACCTCCTGAGTGCTGGGATTATAGGCATGTGCCACCATGCTGGGCAAAATAAAAATTTTGGACATCCAATTGCTTTGAATGGAGATTAAGAGTTTTAACTATTGAGAGCCTTCCAGGTTTGCACACACCATGGAAGGTGACCTAACATTTATTAGTTATACATAAGAAAATTCATGACGGATGGAACTGTAAACACTGCTCACCATTAATAGCTCTCCAACATGCAGATTCATGGCTGCACTGGTCAGTGACAGGTCATACACATGAAAGCTTATCCAGTTCTCCCATGGGTTTTATCTCCTCTGTTTTTTTTTGTGGTGGCCTGTGCTAGTGGCTCTGAAAAGTCTCCAGCTTGGATAAACTTTTCTCTCAACTGGTCCAAGGACAGAACAGATGGAGCTAAAGTCATCTCCTAGTGATGTCTTTTCCTTAACTAAGTTTTGAGTCCTAGAAATCTCTGTTCTTGTAACTCAGTGCAGTCTATGCTCAGGATGATGGATGACAGAGGGGAAATAGGTGAAAATAAAATTCACTGCAAGCAGTTGCAGTGGTTGCTTCACATGGTCCCCTTCTAAGGCTCCAAAGATTCCCATCTCTCTCAGACACCACACATCACTCTGAGTCTTGTGTTTGTTTGCAAGGAGGTGCTGAGGGGCACAGGGTGATGTGCACAAGGGAGTTTTTGTCTCAGTTCCCCATCTGCATGTGTCACTGTGGAAATGGTTGCTGTACCACAGGGCGCAGTAATAGGTGGCCTCGTCTTCAGGCTGGGCCCCTGTGATGGTGAGGGCAGCCTTGTCTCCAAGCAACGAGCCTGAGAAGCGGGCAGGGACACCCGGGGCCCGGTTGCTGGTATCACCTATTAGTCCCCGGGTTGTTTGGTAGGGTTTCTGTTGGACCCAATCAGCATAGTTGCTCGTTGTGACGGCTCCAGTACTGGAGCCACAGGTGAGCGTGACCGTCTCTCCAGGAGATGTGGACAGGGAAGGTTCCTGCGTCACCACAGCCTGTGATTCAGCCCCTGAAAAGAAGAGAGGAAAGTGATGGTCAGATGAGGAGACAGAGGCAACACCGCTGCCTTGCACAGCCCCAGCCAGAAAATCCCTGCTGACCTGTGATGTGAGCCAGAAGCGTAAGCAGGAGAGGAGCCCAGGCCATGGTGCGGACAGCCCAGGATGTGATTTCAAGACTGCTTAGCACACAAGGAGCCCTCCAGCCCTCATTATAACTCTTCATACCCTGCTGGGGGTGGTGGGCAGGGTTTTCATGCAAATAAGATTGCCCTGTCCAGGAGTTCAGCAAGTCTGTCAGGTCACACCCACTGAGTTAACCTACAGTGAGTATATGATAGTGGAACCTACAGCCTACAAAGCTTTTCTGAGTTGTTCCTTGCTGTCCCAGGGGTAAGTGCACAGCACTCTCTAGTGTCAACATTAAAAATAAGACTAAGGGAATGAGGCAGTCCTTCGGGTCATTTCCTATTCATAACCTCTGAGGTTTTAGTTTCCTTAGTACATCAGGTGCAGTGCCTGCGATTGCAGGAGGAAGCTGGGTGGAGATGTTTAGGGTAGTGGAGAGCTGAATAATTACTGCTTTCTCCATGTCATGGACATCAGATACCTTCAGGAGAGGAGCTGAGACTGAATTCTTTTGGTCTCTGAATTTAGGTTTCTTGGAAACCTAAACTCATTTAACAATAAGCAACTTAGTAAGGTAATTTTTCTTTAACTTTTTTTTTTGTCTTTTTGAGATAGGGTTTCACTGTGTAGGTCAGGCTGGTCTCGAAGTCTCAGTGACCCTCCTGCCTCAGCTTACCCAGTCCTGGGATTATAGGCGTGCACCACCAAGCCTGGCTTTAGTATGATCACTGACACATGAACAGTAGTTCATTGTACCAGGCCCTGTAGCATTTCACAAGTTATTTTTGAATGCTGTTTATGGAGTGTTATTGAAATACCGGTGAATGTCTAAAAAATTAATGCAGTAAAAGACACACTTTATCCTCCTCAAAATATCTGCTCTTGCCTCAAACACATTTTTGCCATCATTCTTGCCTTTTCTGAAAATATTTGGTGAGTGTTTGCAAGGTTTGATCAAAATGTGCTGAGTGTCGCAGAAATGCAGGCCCATAAGAACATGAAGGAACGTCCTTAATCTACCTCTTCAGTAAATCTGGCACCATGTCAGATGGTCAAAACGGCCTTAAAAGTGAATGTTTTAATTGATACCGGATACGGAGGCAGCCACAACTGCCAACCAGAAACGTGAAAATGAACTTACAAACTACTCAACAAAGCGGCTAGGATGAGAGGATAAGTATTCAAAACAAAAGAGAGTATTTTGAGCGAGACTAATGGCAACCTGACATTTAATGCAAAAAAATTTCAACATTGACTCTATTTTTCAATCCCACTTCTATTTTCCTGTTTCTTGAGACTGCTACAGAAATACACCGAATTTCTCTGAAGACTTGACAAATGGTCTGTGCGTGTGCATGTGTGTGTGTTTGCTTGATCATATTTCTCCAAATGCAGAAAGTGTACATCAGAACTTCAGAGCATTTGTCTTTCTGGGCCTCCTAAAGCTAGTAATCACCTGGTAATCTATCGGAGCTGCATTCTCAATTGTATACCATGAATATCCAAAAGCTGATGAGACCAGTTAAATGTGAAGGCCTAGGTGTGAGTTGGAATGATTTAGCTTCATTCCAGAAGGGATCCAGAAGGGATGTTTTCTCCTGTCCTGTCACATGCTAAAAGACCCCTTGGTCCCTCACTGATATGATAAGCTCCTGAAACTTCACTGGTTGTCTCTTACCTAGACCATTTGTTGAATTTGTCATCTCTTGCCCTTCTGTTTTGCCTAGTATGATATCTTCAGTGGAATATGCAGAATGTTTAGATCTCCTAAACTAATTGCAGTGGAAGTCAGTGTAGCCCTGGAACAAAAGCTTTAAAGTATCCTTTATCAATTCTATAAGTGTAAATTATTTAGATTTTCTTTATCTTTCTTTGTTTCTCAATATGAATGAGAATGTATATATCTGCCAAGTCAGTAGCTCTTTACTTTCAATGTAACTATCCTCGGGCGGGCTTCTCAGGAAACAGTCTCTCAGTTGGAGAGTTTCCTGCAGGGTTTTTTATGGAATGATCTACGAAGAAGAGAGGCAAGAGGTTGTTAAAGAGGGAGACAGCGAGGTGTGGTGCAGTCACAATAAAGATGTCACGTGATCCTGTGTGTGGACTCATGGAGACGTGATGAGAGTGTCCCTCAGATACTTTGCAAATTTTGGCAAAGTGTGTGTTTTACTCATGTAACAAGCAAAACCTTTGTGTACATCCTGGAAGGGAAAGGGTGCGATTAGGGAGCAATCAAACTTCTCATCATACAGCAGTTTCCAGAGGGCGCATCAGGGGGTACCCATCAGCATCCAACGCTCCTGACAGCAGGAAGGAGAGTTGTGGAGTTGAAGGAGAGAACTGGATGGGACAATGATGTATACCAGAGTCTTACAGGAAGATCTTAACAAGGCTGTTTTCCCTGAATTCAAGGAGAGGTTTGCGAGAGGCAGGATATAGGAAAGAATGGTCTCAGAAAATGATAGCTCCCAGCAACGTCCTGTGAGTCATATCCTCCCTTCCAAAGGAGGGTTTGTACCAGCCTGATTGATGGTTTTATTCCCATGGGAGAAATCACCAGGGACTGGGCTGAGCCCTGCACCTACTTGAGGTTCTTTGAACTTTTGTAATTGTCTTAGGGAAGTAAAGATTGTCCATAGGCTTCTATCTAGGCTCAATAAGGCAGTGCATTTCTGTCAGCTAATTCATTTCTCATCCTTATTTTCAGGAATTGTGTACTCTGTGACTTTCTCAAAATGAGCATGGTTATGGAGCCCCAAGTTTGTAAAGTGAGCCATAATTTGACAAAGAAAACAGCAGCACATCTTATGGGACCCTGTGGCCACTGGAGAAGCAATAATATGTTATCAGGTACACATTGCTCAGTGTCAGAATTACCAGTTGAGACAGATCATAAATAGATAAAAAAAGACAATGAAATATATTAAAATTGTAAGTCATGAAAGGCCCTCTCATAATCAAAGAAAATTGTTTTTAGCAACATATGTGGAAAATATGTTAGCTGGAAATCCAATAATTCAGTTGAATAAACATTTCAAAACATAAAGTATAATTGGGGAAAAGTGAAAAGAGACTTAGCTGTCTTTATAAAAAATGAGCATTTTTCTGCATGTGGTGATGGACCCCTGTAATCCCAGCACTTGTGAGGCTGAGGCAGGAAAATCACTCTGAGTTCAAGGCCAGCCTGAACTACATAGTGAGAACCCTTCTCAAGAAAAGGAAGAACGACAACAAGAAGAAGAAAAAGCGGAAAAAAGAAGAAAAACAAGAGGAAGAGAAAAAGGAAGAGGAAGAGGAAGAGAAAAAGGAAGAGGAAGAACTTTCAGAAAATCAAAGTGTTTAGAAAAAATTAAATAAAATTTAGATGCATTGTGTAGGGTACTATTAATTATTTTCATATGTGTTTGCAGTATATGGTTACATTCACTGTGGGGAGGTAGTCTAAATATATAACACACTTTAGTTCTTTTTCCGTGTACCCCTTACTGCCTTTCTTCTCTTGTTCCCCTTCCTTTTTGTAAATATGTATCTCTGTATTTCCATGACCTATGCGTTAACTGCTCCTTATTTATGATTTGGGTTGCTCCCACAAGAGAAACTATGGGATATTTAAGCCTTTGGGTCTGATTTACTTTACTGAACTATATGGTCTCAAGATTCCCCTGTTTTCCTACACATGACCCATGTTTATCCTTCTTTGTGGCACAATGGGAGGTTACTACATGTAAACACCACATTGTCTCTATTCATTTATCTGTTGATGGACCTGTAGCTACCTCCAAGTTTCAACCATCATGATTCGTGCTGCTGTAAATAAACATGGGTGTGCATGGTCACTGGAATGTGATGTTTTAACACATTTGGGAAGCTCCCCAAAAGAGGTACTTTTGTAGAATGTCATTTCTCTCTTTAATTTTTTGAGGAATTTCTGTACTTATTTCTATAGTGGTTGTGCATACTGCACAACTATACAGCAGTAAGGGGAAAAATAAAAATAAAAAAATTAAAGTACCAAAATATTTTACTGACATGCTTGTTTTGCTTGGGGTAAGAAGGAAATATAGATCAATTTAAATTTCAAGGTGAAAACAGAATGAGTTACTAGTATATGTCCCTAGAATCACTATAAAGAGAAAAACTGAACCCATACACCCCAAATGCGCAGGTGCTGTAGTCCTTTGTATAACACGGTGTAATATTTGTACATAATTTAGGCACATCTTCCTCTGTGCTTTAATTTTCCACTGCATTATTTATACAAACAAAAGGTAAATGATATATAAATAGTTGTTATACTGCACTGTTTAGGCAATCCTGACAAGAAAAAAGACAGTATATCTCCATGCAGATGAAAAATCTGATTTATGGTTGATGGGACATGTTTCTTCAGAGAAAATCTGCACTGTGTGTATTTTTCAAGTTAGAAAGATAAAATTGTTCCTATTATTTGTCAGGAAAATGGATGTGATATAAAACTTAATGCTAACTTTGGTTTGTTTTTTTTTTTTCCCCCCCTGGACAGGGTCTTGCTATGCAGTTCAGACTGGTCCTGAACTCACATTGTACCCTAGGCTGGCCTCAAACTCGAAAAGATCCTCCTGCCTCAACCTCCGGAGTGCTGGGATTACAGGCATGCACCACCAAGCCTCGCTGTAATTTTGTAATCATGTCAATTATTTTTGCTATGTAAATAATATTACAGGATTTAAAAGAAAAGACCAATGAAATTCACCTAAGAAACTACATTTAGCATTTTAATATTTTAAAATTCATCTGTAATACTATGTACAGTTTTATATTTCAAAGTTGACAAATAGTTCTGATAACTAGTTTTCTACGTAGTTGTACACAAAATCCATTACTTATTTATTATTAGTATGATTTTTTTAGGCAGGTTGTCATTATCTATTCCAGGCTGGCTTCAAATACCCAGTGATCCTCCTTCCTCAACTTCCCAAGTGCTGGGATTACAGGGCTGTGCTATCTCTGCTGGCTATAAATCCATTAATTTACATTAATATAATTTAGCTAATGAAAAGGAAAATTTG